TGCAACAGCATAGAGGATAGAACTCGCCACCACAGACTCATAGAAGATCCTGAGCATAGTCCGGCTGATGTTGAAGGACCTCAGGTGCCTCAGAAAATAGAGACGACTTTGACCCTTCCTATAGAGGGCGTCTGTGTTCTTAGCCCAGTCCAGTTTATTGTCAATGTACACTCCCAGATACTTGTAGTCCTCCACAGTGTCCACACTGACCCCACTGATGGGGGTCACCGGTGCCTTTTCCCTCCTCAGGTCCACCACCAGTTCCTTTGTCTTTGTCACGTTGAGCTGCAGATGGTTCAGCTTCCACCATGCAACAAAGTCCTTCACCGTCGCCCTGTACTCGTCCTCATCACCCCTGCTGATACATCCAACTATTGCAGAGTCATCAGAAAACTTCTGAAGGTGGCAGGTCTCTGTACAGTAGCTGAAGTCTGTGGTGTAGAGGGTGAAAAGGAAGGGAGAAAGGACAGTTCCCTGCAGGGCTCCAATGTTGCTGACCACTCTGTCCGACACACAGTGCTTCAGGCTTACATACTGTGGTCTGCCAGTCAGGTTGTCAACAATCCAGGACACGAGGGAGGCATCTACTTGCATCACTGTCAGCTTGTCACCCAGAAGAGCAGGCCGAATGGTCTTAAATGCACTGGAGAAGTCAAAAAACATGATCCTCACAGTGCTGGCTGGCTTATCCAGGTGAGCGTAGACTCGGTTGAGCAGGTAGATGATGGCGTCCTCAACTCCCAGGCGGGGCTGATAGGCGAACTGGAGAGGGTCCAGAAATGGCTGGACCATGGGCCAGAGCTGATCTAGGATGAGCCTCTCCATAGTCTTCATGACGTGGGACGTCAGTGCTACTGGTCTGTAGTCCTTGATGTCACTGGGTCGCGGCGTCTTCGGAACAGGAAAAATGCAGGACGTCTTCCACATCATAGGGACCCTCTGGAGACTCAGGCTCATGTTGAAGACATGGTGCAGTACTCCACAAAGCTGGGAGGCACAGGGTTTAAGCACCCTGGGGGGACCCCATCATGGCCTGCAGCCTTGTTTGTGTGGAGTCTCTTCAGGTGTCTTCTCACCTTGTCAGCAGTGAGACTCACTGTAGAGGTGACGCGTGGGGGAGGGTGTGAGATGGGCTGTCACAGGAGGGGGGCAGGCTATCAGGAGGGGGAGGCAGGGTGAGTGGTGTGGGCTGCTGAGGACCGGCAGCAGTGGAGTCAGGATGGGGGAGGACAGAGCCTGCAGTGACATATCTGTTAAAAAACAAATTTAGCTTGTTGGCCCCGTCCACACTGCCCTCTACTCTGCTCCTGAAGCTGGTGATGGTCTTCATTCCACTCCAGACCTCCCTCATGTTGTTCTGCTGGAGTTTCTACTCCAGCTTCCTCCTATATTTGTTCTTAGCCTCCCTGATAGTTGTCTTCAGTTCCCTCTGGGTCGTTCTCACCTCCTTCCTGTCTCCAGCTCTGAAGGCCCTCTTTTTGTTGTTAAGGAGAGCTTGTTGTTTGGGTAACATTTAACAGTTCTGGTTGGGACAGTGGCATCCGCACAGAAGTTAATGTAGTCCGTGATGCATTCAGTGAGGCCGTCGATGTCCTCTCCGTGTGGCTCACAGAGTGCAGGCCAATCAGTAGCCTCAAAGCAGTCCTGCAATGCCTCATAAGTCTCCTCAGACCATCTACTCACTGTCCGCGTGGTCACAGGCTGACTCTTCACCAGTGGCACGTACTAGGGACTGAGGTTCACCAAGTTGTGGTCTGACCTACCCAGAGGGGGGAGGGGGAGCAGCTGTATGCGTCCTTAACATTAGCATACAACAGGTCCAGTGTTCTTTCCTTTCTGGTGGGGCAGTCCACATACTGAGTGAAGTTTGGTAGTACCTTGTCCATAGTGACGTGGTTAAAGTCACCCGATATGGTGATAAAGGCACTCAGGTATTGAGTTTGGAGACGCGCTATGGTTGAATGAATGACGTCACATGCTGACATCGGGTTGGCAGGGGGGGGACGTAAACAGTCACGATAATAACATGGGAGACATGTCCATATCCACATGTCCATGTGTCTGCCCTGTGATGGACTGGTGACCTGTCAAGGGTGTTTCCTGCCTTGTGCCCAATGACTGCTGGGATAAGCTCCAGCACCCTCCATGAACCAGTAGGATGAGTGGCTTAGATAATGTGTGTGTGTGTGTGTGTGTGTGTATAAATAGCTGTATATGAAATTCGTTTCATTTTACATTTCCAGCACTTTGTGAACTTGTGTTAAAATGTGCTGGGTAAATATGTTCTCATTACTCATGACGTGGTGATACATGTGAATGTTTCATTACACAGTACACAATGAAAAGCAGGTGGCCCTGTGGTCGTAATCAGCATGCAGGCCTGAAAGTGATATGGACACATCTAGGTCAACTCAGTTCTTGTTCCTGAAATCCAATACAGAAAGAACACAGCAGAGAACAGTGTAGATCAGGAGGGTGGGATACACTTCTGGAAAAAAAAAGTTCAGTTTTAACTTTTAACCGCAGCCCCTGCAGCTGCTTTTGTCCATGCTGTCACCAGCTGGAATAGGCAGTTACCTAGTACATCCACATCTTTGCTCTTCATTGACAAAAAAAGTAAATTTGTATTTTATTTTTGGATATGCTGATTGGTTAACACGGGTCATAAGAATGTTTGCTCTGACTGAGTTAAGATGGGCCACTTCTTCCTATATGAATAGATTTGGATCCAATCCAAAAGGCCTATGCAGAGAAAGGCTGTTCATGGGCCTATGAAAGCCCTGCCCCTGCCCACATGCAAATGTTACAGGATAGTATAAAGAAACACTGACCATATGGATGCCAGGAGTCGGAATCGGCTTGATGGTGCATAGTAATAATAATGTTATGATTAGTGCCTAAAGAGCAGGAGAATTAATACAAAATGATACACAAGCTTGGCCAAGAAGTGCTACACATAATGCAGATAAGCTACTGTATTAGTCAAATCATTTTATACATATAATTTTGTATAAATTATATATTGTTGCAGCTGTAAATGACTTACCACTTTTAAGGCACTAAGGAACTGAGGGCCTGTTACAATATGGATTTGTATCTTATTTAGGGACTTGGTCATAAACACTTTGAAGTATTATATATGCAAATATGTGTTCTTAAACTCCTGTTGATATAAATTTTCTCTCTTTTTCAGCAATCCATAAAAAAGAAAAAACCCGCCTAAGAGCAAACAGCTCTTTCTTGCAGAGAAACATCAAACTGTGAGTGAGTTACAGTCCAGGTCAGTGAGGTTCCTGGCATCTAAAAATTGAGAACGGTTTCATTTTTAATTGCAGTTTCCAAGATGATGGTTTGTTTAATTTAGTGGGTTATCTTTGTGTTTTAGCACACTGCCAGATCACCTACAGAATGATAACTAGGACAACGTACCAGATCTTCATGTTTTTGTGCAAAATATGTTGACCCCCTCTTAGATGTGGCTCTTTTGCATAATGTGAGACACAAATCAGACACTTGGTTAACACATCACATTTCATTTACTTTGTTTCTACACATGCCTTATTGGTAGATTTCACCTGGGGGTGGCGTGTGGGGTGCAGGAGGGCCTCCGAAGTATAATCTGGACTATGGCATACTGTAGTCTAGAGCTGGCCATGGTTCCCATACAACAGATTCCATATATGAAGTCCTGTAATGATAACTAATGCACCATCAGTGATTTTACCTGAGGTCATCAAGTGTTTCTGGTTTTTCATTATCAGACACCTTATTCAGGTGACCCAGCTGATGGTCTTACCCCTCCTATTCCAAAGACATCTGACACCCCCAGTGATGCCAAGTACTTTGCAGAGAGCTTTACAAAGCCCCTATACCCTACATCTACATTGAATAGCCAAAACATGACCACCTGCCTAATATGCTGTTGGTCCTCTATGTGCCACCAAAACACCCTTGGAGGTATCGACTCTGCAAGACCTCTGAAGGTACCCTGTGGTATCTGGTACCAAGACATCAGCAGATCCTTTAAGTCATAGTCTGCAACTATGTTTAGGTAGGTGGCATGTTTCATCCACAGAAGTGCTTGAACCCAGTCCAGAGCACCAGACTCCCTCCTTCTGCTTCCCACGGTTCATTCTGGTGCCATCACCAAAAGCATAAGTGCTCTGATCAGTCTGTGGCTACACAGCCCCCTACACAGCAGGGTGTGATGCATTGTGTGTTGACACATCCGTCCCATTACCATCATTAAAAATTCCTGTAACTTGTGTCACAGTAGCTTTTCTGTTGATCTGGACCAGACAGGACAGCCCTCGTTGCTGCTGGGCATCAATGAGCTGTGGGTGCCCACCACTCTGTCACTAGTTCATGGTTTGTCCCTCCTCAGACCACTTTTCCAGCCCGTCTCCACAGTGGGACTAAACACAGAGAGCACATCTCCCCTGTATTAGTCTCTCTTCACTGTCTTCACATAAAGACATTTTATTCTCTTGCTTTGGTTACTTTTAACGTTTGAATGGTATTTTTTATTTTAATTTTTTACATGTGTATGTGTGGATCTTATTGATGTCTTGTTTTATGTGAATAATATGCTTTTTAATTTTAGGTTGTGAAGAACTTTGTGTGCTATTTGAATAAAAACGTATGAAAACGTACTCAGACTGGTGGTAAATGACTGCAGATATACACTTGGGTGTAACCCTCCAGATCAGCCACTCTGGCATTGCTGCCCCTTAAACACTCACAGTCAATCATTATTAATTCTTGTTTGACTTATTTGCTTTTATTTACAACAGAGCAACTTTGAAATCCTTTGCTGACAAACAGTGTTTCAGAAAGTTGTTTCATGTTTTACCTCAATCTTTTAATCTATGTATCCACTGTGTGTGTTTGTTTATTTGCATGGTCAGACCAGCCTTCATGTAAATCAACATAAAAATAGTCAAAGAAGCACAAAAACAAAGAAATAGCTGTTGTGGCTTCAGTTTCTCTTCAGTCACAGACACTAATCAGCAGCAGACAGACAGACACTAATAGAGCAACTTGGTCAGCAGTAACAGGTAAGAAACACATTTTAAGACTCTAATCTCTGTTACTGAGCTTTAATTTACCATCAGATTTATTCTTTATTTTTCTAAAGCAAAGTGCCTAGAAAAAGTGTAAAGGAGAAACTGCTGTACTTACAGAAAAGAATGATTTGCTGGACAGGGATTAAGCCTAGTCTTGGACTACACAGAATAATGAATAGGATTAACCCCTGTCTGGAAAACTAATCCATACGTGTTTTTCTTACACATCGTCATAATTTCAAATGAAGACAGCAGTCATTTTTTAACTCACAGGGACAAAATTATTAAAAAAGCACAAACTGAACAGCTGGTGCTGCTTATATACTGTGCAGTATGTAATTCATACATTTCTCAGGTTAGTTTCTCTGAGTCACTTTATACTCCAGATTAACAGGTCCAGCTAAAACGCTGCTGCTCTCTGAATGTGTTCCTGCAGTTTCATGACGTTAAGCTGCTGCTGTGGGTCATAATTTAAATCCTACTTTTAATGTACATTTATGATTATTGCTGAAATAACATCTTAGATTTTAAATATGTAGATAAAACAATGAACTATGAAGCCCATTGCAGAGGGGTTGGCTGAATATTTACATCAGAAAAATGTGTAATATTGCTGTATTGTAGATCTTCTGTGAACAAACTTGTTATTAATGTGTTCTCTGTTTTGAATGTATTTGATTCTTGCTGTCTGGGTCTTTGTCTGTTTAAAATGCTTTACTTTGGTACCTGGTCAGATAAAGGAACGCCTGCTGTTCTTGTAAATGTGCAGTGGCATTCAAATTTTTCTGCATGTTTATGATGTTTTTCTTCTGATTCTCCGGAGGAACAACATTCAGATACATTTATTAAACTCATCTATTCCACTGGAAGCTAAAACAGTCCATGTTTATATACACTGTTTACAAAAAAATACAAAAAACCTTTTTTTTACATCATAAAGTGAATCACTGGCTGTTAGTTCTTGTTTCATTTTAAAAATTCTGAATGTGTCACCATCCCTTTCCTTAAAGGGGAATTCCACCAATTTTTCAACATTTCCACAAAACTCAGTTGTTAAGATGCAAACAAACTCATTCAGAGTGATCAGATGTGAAGTTGTTTACAATGACAGTAATAGGAGCCAAACACCTGAAGAAAAGAATGCCTGTCGTATGAGGCATGTAGGCTGCAGGTGTGAGATGGGTTTATCTGGGGTAATCCAACTCTCATAATCACAACAGGCAGTGGGGAAAAACAGGCAGGCAACATCAGCGGTAGATCCATATTAAAACAAAACAGAAGACAGAGCAGGAGTCAAAACACAGGCAGGCAGCGTTAGACATAGATTTATGTGTCAAAACACACAAAACCAGCACAAAGACACCAGACTCAGAACTCAGATAAAACACAGAGACTTTGCAAACAAACAGGCTTAACCCTAGAACCCAAAACTGTAGGTAATTTCTAGCCATCATAACTTCAGAATGGTTTAAGATACAGACAGGATACACATATCAGACCATTCAGCAGACCGACCCAAACTAGTTAGTGTGAGCTGTGATGTCAGCATCAGTGAGTAATTTGGCTCAGAAAATCACCCAAAATCCTAATATTATTGATCTGTTTTTGGCCTTCATATTCCAACAAAGGGTTAAAACAGCAACATGATTCACACACCAGATCACTCATCAGACCCTGTTTCACCATCCAGAGTGATTTCATCCACGTGTGACCATCAGCCAGAGATCCAGCTCCAAAATCACCCAAACCCACTCACTACTGTTATACTACTGTTATACTATCTCTGCTTTAGTCTTCATATTGTAAATAAAGGGTTGAAACCAGAACACTCAGAGGAACCTGCCATCACTAGCCAGAGTGAGAGAAACCAACTCCAACATCACACAACCCAGGAGTACTGCACAAACACACAGCCGGTTCACCGTAAAGCCTGTTATTAGCTCTCTGCTTTAGCCTTCATTTGGCAACAAAAGGGTTAAAACAGCAACACAATTCACACATCATGTTGAACATCAGGATGTACCCTGTGTATCCAGAGTGACTTTGTGGAGATTTCAGTGATGATTCAGTGAGTAATCCAGTTCAGAAAACCACTGTTCAGATCCTGTGTTTATGTCCCTGTAAATCTCCATTTAAATAGCTGACTACACATGTACAACCTAGAACTTTCCCTCATGTCCTAGAAATTTACAGCTAAATACACATAAAAACTGACTCAAAATGCAATCACACTTATAAAACTGAGGCTAAACGCAAATTTATAGGGTTCTAAGGGTTAGCAACGGACTATATGTAGGAGAGTAACTAGTCCAGAAGATGATCTGCAGGTGTGTAAAATGGAGGAGTGGGTGGAGTCAGCGAGGAGCTGGAAAAGAAAATAAAAACTACTGCACTACCGCACAGGCCCAGGAGGGGGTAGTTTATGACAAAACTAAAGAATTACTGAAATAACAATGTTTCCCCTCATATTTACAACTATTTCACCATCAGATAAAAACTAGTTCACTGGAGTTCACTGTAAGTTCAGGTGGTTTTGGGTAGTAAATAAAATGACTGTATTTGTGTTGTAGTCATGCTGAACCCTGTGAAGGAATCTGGTCTTTTTCTCTAAATTGTTACATCTGTTTGTCTACTCCTAGAGCTTCTCTGTTCTTCTCAAACTGATTGTGTTACTAAATATATTGTCAATTATACAACATGATCTGATGTGCTGGTAGTGAAGACTGTTGAGGTGTTTAATGTGTGGATTGTGTCTCTCTTGTTCTCCACAGTCATGAGTTCAGCTCTGTATCTGATCCTGCTTTTCTCAGGTCAGTGTAGCTTCATGATCATCTGTAAAACTCTCTGCTGCTTCATTACTGTACTGTCATGCTGATGAGAGCTTTCATCTCTACAGCTCTGTGGACTCTCTCCTTCTGTGGGACTCATCAGTTTCGTGTGGTGAATGAAAATAAGAACTGGACCGACGCTCAGAAATACTGCAGAGAGAAATACATTGACCTGGCCACCATTGAGAGCCAAGAGGAAATGAACATTTTAATAGCTTTTCTCAATGGGAGAGCAAACCTTTCCTGGATAGGACTGAGACAGAAAGTTCAACAGAACACCACTGTAAGAAATCATGTACATTTAGATTTATTCACGGTCAGAAGGTGTGTGACTGTAATGAAACTAAAGAGGGGTCAGGGGGGTTGCAGGTCTTGAAAATATGTTTTTTTTCAGTGACTAAAACTCTGCAGAAATATCAGGTGTTCATAAATCACCACTCCTCCAGTTTCCTTTATACATTTAAAACATAATCTGACCAAAGATAATCTTATAATGTTAAAAGCAAAAACAGATCGCTGCATGAGGCAAGAGGGACAAAACCTGATGCTGCATGTTCATAATTAGCAGAATCACTTTACAATAAGACTACCCTTATAAAATGATTAAGAATAGTTTAAAATGGGTATATTAATGATTATTACTTAAATAATAAACACCTTGAATATTAATAATAAGCAGTTATAACAGTTATAATGAAAAGGGCAAATGAGCTGTTATGTCTGATGAACGTGAATATCTGATGTAGCTGACAGGTTTAATGCTGACTGATTAAGACGACAAAAATAAGATCAGAAACCAGCAACACCTGAGCTTTAACTGTACAAATGAATGTGGGTTCACTGTAACTATTTACTGTTAGACAAACAACAGGTCACTGCTGCCCTTCTTATTTATGTGTTATAACTGCTTATTAATTATTTTCAAGGTGTTTATGAGCTGATTAATAACCACTAATGAACACATTTTAAACTATTCGTGAACACTTTATAAGGGTAAGTATTCTAATTCAAAATGAAATCTGCCTTTGTAGATTCGTTCAGTTTGTCAGACCATGCAGACAGTGCATCAGAATGAATGAATGAAATTATAAAATTAATTCACTAAGAACGGATTCAACTTGCAATAACTTCACTGCAATAATTATGCAATAAGAATCCCATATAATTTTACTGTTAAATGTACGTTTACTTGATTTAAATGACAACAAATACTAATATTTATAATAATCTACTAATATAACCTAATAATAATATAATCTTTTAATAATTTACTACTGTTTACTAATTATTAATATTACTGTAATTCTTAATAGTAGTTGTGTTTTGTGGAGACAGAAGAATTGCTAATGAATACTGATTAAGATGCACCCAAATGGGTGTTTTATGTAGTTAAAATTAATAAAATTGCAGGACACTTTCTTGCCTGACCAGTCCCCTAAAGTTTTGTTTAACACTTATTACGTTGCTGAAGATGTGAACAAAACTACATTATATTTATCAATCAGTGTTTTACGGAAAAATAATCCAGAAATACTCATTCACCTTTTATACACCACTTATGGATTTATGCTTTTTATTAAAAAAAAAAAAACACCTTATTTTGGCTGAAAACATGCAACTAAAAATCTCTATAGTGGTAGAGCTAATTATCAAAACGCATATATGAGTGTGAAGATGATTTTATCTGGTGTGATATTGAGCACTGAGAGGTCAGTGTTTAAACAGTTCACTGATCAGGTATTAATGTGTTTCTAGAGCTGGATCTGGTCAGATGGGAGTAACTCCTCATACAGATACTGGAACAAGGATGAGCCAAACGGTGGTGTGGATGATCTCTGTGTGCAGTTGTTTAGCCCTGAATACAAGTGGAATGATGCAGGCTGCAAATGGGAAAATCCATTTATCTGCTATAAAAGTGAGTAATAGTAATAATAAGATGAAGAAATGCAAGACACCTGTTACAGATCCAGTTCATTTACCTTTAATGTTTGTGTTTGTAGCAGTTACACTGACTCAGTGCTTTAATGTAGGTAGATCTAAGTAGTGAATCTGGATGAATTGAGAAATCAACATTTAAAGATAGAAAGTACACTAACCAAAACACAACTGAATATTTAAAACATTGACAGCACAAAAATCACTGAACTATTTGACGTATTGGTGAAATCTTTGTTCTCATTCTTCTGCAGATCTTTCACTCATCCTGATTAATCAGAACAAGACGTGGAGAGAAGCTCTGAGATATTGCAGAGAGAATCATGTGGATCTGGTCTCTGTTCACACTGAGGAAATTCAGCACTGGGTGGAAACAGCTGTTAATTATGCCTCCACTGCTAATGTGTGGATGGGTCTGCGTCACACCTGCACCCTGAGCTTCTGGTTCTGGGTGAGTGGACAGTCGATCTGCTACCAGAACTGGGCTCCGGGGAACGGGACAGGGGTGGAAGACTGCAGAGGAGGAGAAAGAACAGGAGCGGTGCAGTCTGGAAGTAAGCAGTGGGTCAGTCTGCCAGAGGACCAGAGACTCAACTTCATCTGCACTGTTTAAGGTGAGACAGAGGATCATATATCTGTCAACAGCTGAATATTGATGGTGAAATGCATACTGATTGATCTTTTTTGCTTCTTCTTAGAGATCTAGAAGATCACACTGATACTGAGTCACCATTTCTTCATCAACAGGATTTTGATGCATTCTTTGATACACATACAAGTCAGTTTAATGAAACAAATATATCATACAGAACCGAGACCGCTAATGATGATCTTGCACTGTGTTATTTTCATCTTTGTACAAAATATACACAGATAACATTCTGACCACCTCCTTGTTTCTACGCTCATTGTCCATTTTATCAGCTCCACTTACTATATAGGTGCACTTTGTAGTTCTACAGTTACAGACTGTAGTCCATCTGTTTCTCTGCATACTTTGTTAGCCCCCTTTTACTCTGTTCTTCAGTGGTCAGGACCCCATGGACCCTCACAGAGCAGGTCCTATTTGAGCGGTGGATCATTCTCAGCACTGCAGTAACACTGATGTGGTGGTGATGTGTTAGTTTGTGTTGTGCTGGTCTGAGTGGATCAGACACAGCAGTGCTACTGGAGTTTTTAAACACTGTGTCCACTCACTGTCCACTCTATTAGACACTCTCACCTTGTCAGTCCACCTTGTAGATGTAAAGTCAGAGACGATAGCTCATCTGCTGCTGCACAGTTTGTGTCGGTCATCCTCTAGTCCTTCATCAGTGGTCACAGGACACTGCCCACAGGACGCTGTTGGCTGGATATTTTTGGTTGGTGGACTATTCTCAGTCCAGCAGCGACACTGAGGTGTTTAAAAACTCCAGCAGCACTGCTGTGTCTGATCTACTCGTACCAGCGCAACACACACTAACACACCACCACCACGTCAGTGTTACTGCAGTGCTGAGAATGATCCACCACCCAAATAATGCCTGCTCTGTGAGGGTCCATGGGGGTCCTGACCACTGAAGAACAGGGTAAAAGGGGGCTAACAAAGTATGCAGAGAAACAGATGGACTACAGTCTGTAACTGTAGAACTACAAAGTGCACCTATATAGTAAGTGGAGCTGATAAAATAGACAGTGAGCGTAGAAACAAGGACATCATAAATCTTACGCCTGATCGGTGTACACATTCACAAATACCCACAAAACAGCTTCCAAAGTACAAATTAGAGCTTTTAATTCATCCAATTTACTACTTTAGAGTGCTAAACTGGATGAATTCAAAGCTCTAATCTATCAATCAATAATTGAATTAACAGAAACTTGGCTTAAACATTCTGTAAGTAATGCTGATGTAGCTCTTATTGAACATAATTTATGTAGAATTGATAGAAAAATATGGGTGGTGGAGTTGCCATCTCTAAAATCTCTAAGGAAAAATGTTTTGAATGAGCTTTGAAAGTGTGCCTAAGACATAATTGACAATATAGCTGACCTTGTATCTCATTATATTGCTACAGAAATGCTGATATTTTTATCTCAACTGGTTGACTAAAGCATGCAACCATTTGAAGGAAAATTGTGGCAGCCTCTCCCTCACACAACTTATTATTGAGTCGACTAAGCCAAATCTGAAACATATTAGTCTTCCTTGATCAACCTAATCTTGTCCAATAGAAATTACAAAATAACTGCCTCAGTCTTGGTTTTAGTGACCTCTGCCCTATCACATGCATTAGAACTACTGGCATGTAAAAACATGCTAATGGATGGTGGTCAGTAGAAATTGTAAACATTTTAATAAACAAGCTTTTTCTGGTAACACTTTCTATGAATGTCACATTTGTAAGCATCTATAAACACAATTATTACATGTCATAATACATTCATAAGGCATCATAAACACAAACACACAAACACACACACACACACACACACACACACACACACACACACACACCTTCTAAGCCACTTCTCCTTCTGGGTCGCGGGGGGTGCTGGAGCCTATCCCAGCTGTCATTGGGCGGAAGGCAGGATACACCCTGGACAGGTCACCAGTCCATCACAGGGCAGACAGACAGACATACACATTCGCATCATAACCATGGCTATAAATATTGATATAAAATGCATTACGCATTATAGCCAGGCTTATTATGCATTATGAGTTGTTAACATAATGCATTATAAGTACTGTTAATAACAAATTATAAGAGCTCATAAGTTGTATTTGTCCGCTCTAAGTAAAGTGAAGCGTACTGTACTAAAGCCTCCTCCAGTGTTAAGAGTGAGGTTTCAAGTTGAAGTATTTACTGAAGGATTTACTGAAACACTAAAACATACACAATAAAGCCCATTACAGCACCAGTGGTGAGAAATAGAACACTGGAAATCTCAGAGCGTAAATAAACTTTGTATTTGTCTTTATTTTACACTTTTCAAGCTGGGACTGACTTCTTTGGCAATGACAGTATAACATGTTATTAACACTGCTTATAATGCATTATATTAACAATTCATAATGTATAATAAACATGGCTGTAAATTGTAATTGAGTGTAATTCATTTTTATAAATATTTATAACCATGTTTATAATGCCTTAAGAATGCATTATAACATGCTATAAATGTGTTTATAGATGCTTACAAACGTGACATTCATAGAAAGTGTTACCCTTTTTCTTTCTGACGTAGCACTGAGCCACATTTACTCCACTGACATTGACATGGCACTAGATCTTTTTAGTAACATATTCCTGAAGATAGTCAATGAGCATCCTTTTTTAAAAATCAGAATTCCATACTAATCTAGTCCCTGGCTTATTTCTAAAATTTCTACCCTCCTTAAAACAAGAAGCACAGCCTGGACCCTTTGCCAGACCACCCTGGTACATGGAAGTGAAATACTGTGAACCTCAACACTGTTGTCTCCTTCATCAAATGCAAATCCTGTATTTGCAAAAGAAGGCAGTAAACCAGGCCAATACCAAAATGCTAAACTGTTACTTAACAGTCTTGAATCATTAATATTTACGACCCCAAAATTAACACTACAACAGGCCTCATTTCAGCTCAGCAGGAAACAGAGTGACAGTGATGAAAATCAAAGACTACCTGCAGAAATAGGGTTGTAAATGGGCATTTAAAACCACATCTGGGCATGTTTTGCCCCAACCAAAGTAACATACCTTCTATGTAGACGTCAGACAACAATTTAAAATACTGAATAAATGCTTTTTATGGAACCGTTAAAGAATAAATGTACTTCCACTATTAGAAAAGCCAAATCAGATTATTATCTTTGCCCAATTGGTCCCTAATTGGCACACCATAAATCTGATCTACTGTCTGTAACTAAATGTGTCCCACAAGGCTCAATACTAGGACTAGTCTTATTCAGCACATACATCAATGATATTCCCACTTCCATCTCAGATTGCAAAACACACCTGTGTGTAGATGACACTATTTTATACTGCTGTGCTGTTTCTGTATAGGAAGCAGGGGAAACTAATGTGCTCTTTTAATGCCTTACAGTCAGTTCTCTATGAGCATAAACTAGTTTTAAATGTGAAGATCAAATTCATGCTGTTTTCCAGAGCTTCTAACTTGGATTTTAACTCACTAAATCTTCCTACCCTGAAGGCATCCAGAATTCATTGACACTACTCTGCTGTCAGTAAATGATTATGATGATGTAACAGACATATGCTTGCCAACAGCCTGAAGCCCTCTCAGAGTTGACTCTATCTTTCACCGTGCTTTGATATTTATCCCCGAAGACCCTTACAATATTCAAAAATATGTGGACTAATTAGTGAGTTCAGGTGTTTCAGCCACACAGATCGCTAAGAGGTGTATACAATCGAGCACATAGCCATGCAATTGCCATAGACAAACATTGGTAGAATGAGTACCGAAGAGCTCACTGAATTTAAATGTGGCACTGTCATAGGATGCTAACTTTACTACATGTCAGTTTATGAAACTCCTTCCCTGCTAAACCTGCCCTGATCAAATGTAAGTGCTGTTATTGTGAAATGGAAGCGTCTAGGAGCAACAACAACTCAGCCATTAAGCAGTAGACCGCACAAACTCGCAGACTGCTGAAGTGTGTAACACATAAAAATCACCTATCCTCTGAAGCATCACTCACTACAGAGTTCCAAATTGCCTGTGGAAGCAACATCACCACATGAACTGTGTGTTAGGTGCTTCGTGAAATGGGTTTCCTTGGCTGGGTTTGGTGGATGACAGCAGAACGCTACCTACAGTAATGCAGGGTGCCAACAGTAAAGTTTGTTGGAGGAGGGATAATGGTCTGGGCTGTTTTTCATGGTTTGGGCATCTTAGTTCCAGTGAAGGGTGATGTTAATGCTACAGCATACAAAGACATTTTAGACAATTGCATACTTCCAACTTTGTGGCAGCAGTTTGAGGAAGACCCTTTCCTGTTCCAGCATGACTGTGTTCCTGTGCAAGCGAGCTCCATAAAGATATGGTTTTATGAGTTTGGTAAGGAAGAATCCCAGTGGCCTGCATAGAGCCCTGACCTCAACCCTACTGAACACTTTTGTAATTAATTGGAATGCCGATTGTGAGTCAAGCGTTCTTGTCCAACATCAGTGCCTGACCTCAAAATAATACTTTTGACTGAATGGGTTCAAATTCCCACAGACACAACTTTTGTGGAAAGCCTTTCCAGAAAAGTGGAGACTGTTATAGCTACAAAGAGGGAACATTTCCATATCAATGCCCATGGTTTTGGAATAGGATATCCAATACGCTCATATTAGTATGATGGTCAGGTGTCCACAGACTTTTGGCCATATAGTGTAGGTTGGTCCTCTCTAGCAGTGCAGCAGAAAACACACTAGCTTCTGTTTATCTACAAAGCACTTATTGGCCCCATGCCATCTTAGATCACATCAGTGCTCTCTGTAAACAATGGAGTTGATCAAACTCACCCCAGTGAATTAGATCATTCTTCAGATGCTAAGGGCTTTTACTGAACTGGGTATATCTGTTTTTAGCTATTGCACACTATCGACTCGGAATTTATTACAGGAATCTCTAAAGCTCAACTCACTTGAATGATTTAAGTTTTTTCATCTCTAACTAGCTCCACTCAGCCTGCAGCTGCTTTGGTTGATTAATTTTTTTTATTTATTTATTTTTTTCATTATATATCTATTATAGTTGTTTTCTTGATTGATTGCTTATTTTATACAATAAACTTTATAAAT